GGCTGAGCCTTCCCTGGCGTCATCCAGCACCCCGGAGCCATGTCCCACATCCCAGCCCCAGCCCAGCCAGGAGCCGGAATCCACACCCCAGCGATCACATCCTGCATCCAGGATTCGCATTCCAGCTTCAACACCGGGGATCCACATCCCACATCCCAGTCCCAGGGATCTGGGGCTTCAACACCCAGGATCCACATCCCACATCCCAGCCCCAACCCCAGGGATTTACATCCCACACCCCAGCTTCAACATCTGGGATACACATCCCACATCCCAGTCCCAGTTCCCAGGGTCCATGTCCTGCATCCCACTCCAGCTCCCACCCTGGCCTGGGGTCCTGGGACGGGCTGGGACGCGCTGGCCGTGCCGCTGGGAGCGGCGTGGATGTGGAGTTTGCCAAGAGCTCACAAAAATACTCAGTGCTTTATTTCCACCCAAAGCCACGGCGCTGACGGGGCAGCGCGTCACACGCATGCAGGGACACGGGGGGGCCATGGATGGGCCATGGATGGGGCATGGATGGGGCCACGGATGGGCCCATGGATGGGGCATGGATGGGGCCCATGGGTGGGGACACCGACGACGCACACAGGGCAGCACCTGGAGCCAGCCTGGCCCCACTCAGCCAGGGCCCCACAGCTCCTGCTGGAGGAGGCTCAGCCCAGCCCCGGGAGCACAGGGATGTGCACCGGGACATCCCAGGGGACTCTTGGTGGGGAAAGGCAGGGAGGGACCCACGCCGGTCCTTCCCGGCCGGGTGTGGGGTGGGATGAGCCCTGACAAGCACAGAGCTCTCCAAAAACATGTCAGCTCCAGGTGCCCCTTCCAGCAGCACTGCCAGGAGGAGCCTGGGGATGCTGCCAGCCCCCAGCTCCCACCCTGCCGTGCCCACGGTGCCCTTGAGGCCAGAGCCCACACACGGGGGACACTGCTGGACCCCAGCAGTTCCCAGCTCCAGCCCCACAGCCCAGGGGAATCCACGTGGATATTGGAGAGGGGACCTCCAGCACCAGCCCCCCTGCCCTTCCTCCCCAAACTGGGCTGGAACTGGGGCACAGCCCCCCTGGGAGCAGCCTGTGCTGCTGGGGGGTTTCTGGGAAAGGCAGGAAGGAGAGTGTGGATGCTCCCACACGTGCCCCACTCCCTGCAGTCCGTGCATGGGCCGGCACCTCCCCGCTCCCCTCCCGGGAACTCAGGCAGGATGGGCCAGGATCCTGCCCCAGTCTCAGGGGAGAGCAGCACCCAGAGCCAGCCCAAAAGGCCACCAGCCCTTTCTGAGGGCTTGTCCCCGGACCCCCAGCCTGGGGGAGGAACCACGAGACACCCCAGGCCAAGCAGAGCAGGGCTGGCCCCCCACGCCCCAATGCCAGGAGCAGAATCCTGCTCTGCCCGGAGCATCCTCCAAAGAAACAGGCAGCAGGTCCCTGTCCCTGCTCTGTCCTGCCCTCCCACAGCTGGCAGGGAGCCAGAGCAGGGGGTCCCCGGGAAGAGCCCCCAGCTCCACTGTACGAGGGCTGCAGGCACAGCCAGGGACCATGCACAGACACTCGGGGGGCCCGGGAGGATCCCTGGGGGGCCCAGGATCCCGGGAGGATCCTTGCAGCAGCTCCACAGCAAACACCCTGCCCTGGCAGGAGAGGGAAGGGGCTCCCTGCCTCCCCCAGCAGCAGGGCTGGCTAGAAGTGCTTGTCCTCCAGCAGCGAGCTCACCACCAGCTCCTTGTTGCCGAAGTCCCAGAAGGCAGTCATGTGGAAGGCCATGTTGGAGAGGACGACCAGGTACTCCAGGAAGGCGAAGACGGTGTACACTGCAGGAGGGAACACAGCAGGTGAGGGCAACACACGGCTGGATCTGCCCCCAGGGCTGGGGGGTCTGGAGGGCACCTCCCTGGGACGGGAGGGCTGGGGGGCTCGAGCCCCACGGGAGGAGAAGGGCAGTCAGACACCAGCCCTCCCAGAGGAGCCCCCCTCGGCTGGGATTTGGAAAGTGAGGCATCACGTTAGGAGGGCATTGGACACCAGGAATAAGTGTGAGGAATTAGGAGGACTAGTGCCATGGTCTAGTTGAAATGGTGGTGATCAGTCACAGGTTGGACTTGATGATCTCAGAGGTCTTTTCCAACCT